ACTAGAGAAAAACAAAAGGTCTCCTTTGCAGTCTTCTGATCACCTGTACGATATCCCTGAATAATGAATAGCATCATCTCTTGTGGATTAATTACTATGCCCTCAAATTCTAAATTCTGTAGGTGTATGGGAGAGTGAAAGAGGGGTATGGACTTTAGGTGATTATAACAATTAGTCAATCAGCTCTCAAATTCTAAACCCAAATACAGAGTACACAGATGTCTGTGAGAAGCAACAGGATTCTCCCCAGCTTGACCACTATTCTTGTCCATTTGTTAACAGAATACATCTTTTTAGCATGACAAGAGTTCTCTATTACCTGGAGTCTATTTACCCATTCAAACTAACTTTTCATTCTGTCCAACAACCAAACTATCCATTTCTCTCAGACATTTCTCTTCACTTCTATGTAGTCTCTGAATTTTTTTATCTTAAGTTCTGCTATAGGGCACATGTGCTTGCCAGAGACAGAGGTTAAGAAAGAAATCACCCCTTCAGCGGATGGTCACACCACAGTCCCTTCTCCACTCTTTTGGGATCTTGTGCACTCACCCACACACACCTAAAAGTCAAGCCCAGGTCCAGAACTCTAACAGCCCATTTTGCCACAGGGGATTCAGCACCTTAACGTGCATGCCACCTGCTGCCTATTCTGTTATTTTGTCATTATCTGCTTCCTTCCTAGACTACAAGTCCCCTGAAGACAGAGAAAATGAATCGTTCTATCTGCAGTGCCTTGCATCTACCCAATACAGGTAAATTTAACAGAGAGAAAGCCAATTCTAGATACAGAAAGTACAATCAGACATATTACTAAAAATCTGAAAAGCACAAGGGAAATGGACAAGCTCTAAATGAATCAAAAACAAAGAATGAATGGATTATGAGTAATAACCATACAATGATAATTTAATTGACCATAGACTCACTTTTAATATCTATTTTTCTCAAAGTTCTTTCCTTATTTATTCCTAAATTGTCAAAAATCAACCTTTGGGCCTTATTTTTGTCCAAACCAAAAAAGGGTAGATCTGCCTCACCTTTATTTGCTCTCACTTTTGACATCAACATTTTTTTTTTGGAGAGGTTTTTGCTATAGGGCGTATGCGCTTGCCAGAAAGACAGAGAGACAGAGAGACAGAAAGCGAGAAATCACACACACACACACACACCCCATGGCCATGCTGCAATCCCTTCTCCTTCATTCTCCTCTCGGGATCTTGGACATGTGCATACATGCACCCAGCATGAGTTTAAGCTACCAGGTCCGGGACTCGAATCGTGGTCGACTACACGGGAGTACAGTGACAGCCATTACATCAACTGCTGGTCCCGACATCAACATATTCTAAACAGTTATTTTAATCAGACCACTAGTCTGATAGAACTAATTTTTGGAAAGGTTTAACTGAAGCATACTACATTTGGGCACATTTTTTAAGCTGAATAAAATGGAAAGAGTTGAGAGAATGTATGATTTAGACTTAAGAAAATTTCACAACTGGATAGAAAGTAGACTAACCCAAAATAGTGGCAATCATGGTTGTTAAACAATTTTAAAGCCCTCTGGGCCAAATGGTCAAATCCTGAATAAGCTAATCTTTGCACCTGACTCTGCCTATAGTCAGTTGGTACTCAAAATAAAACTATGAATTGTCCTTCACAGTCTGATAAATACAGAACTACCTCTAAAACAGAAGTCTCAGAAGGTACTTCAGAAAAAGTGTGTTTAGGGACAGTCCCACAGCACAGCAGTTAAGCACTGTGTACAGAAAACTGGGTCCCACAAGGCCAACAGTGTCCGAGCCCCTGCCCCAGTGACTCTGAAAAACATGCTGGGCTAGTGAACTTGTGTGTGCCCCCAAATCCTGAAGTGATGGAGAAATGTTAGGAAAAGGATTACAGCATGACCATGCCCAACGGAGTAGGGTTTTCTCTCTCTCTCTCGTTAAGTACATATATATACCCTCTGGTAATTTTTTTTTTTAAAAAAAGCACATTTAAAAAGGTTGTCTCATGAACAGTCCTTAATAACCAAGGTCTAATTTGCAGAAGGATCAATTTTTTTGATCATTGCCAAAAATTAACAAAAAACTTTTCTCACATATAGAAAGCATAAGAAAAGCAGTATTAGTGACATACTGATTTGATCAAACTCCTCTCAAAAAACAAGCCTCTTTTAAAAAGAAAATAACAGCAGAGAAAATAAAGTGAACTACCCCCTAGCCTCAAAATGAATCGCCCCTGAAGAATTCCAAAATTCTTATCTCTGTAAAGCATGAGCACGCAAAAGTAAGATTTTCTTTGTGAAGCTGAGAAAAAGCACATATATGATGAGAAATAGGCTCAAAATGTTCATAGAATCTGATGACCAAAGTCTCTCAATATATAAAAATGAACTGATTTGCTTTCTGGAATCAAGAGTGATGCCATGAGAGAAGGGAGCTTTGAAACTGACAATATCGGCAACACTGAGGTATCAGACCACAAAAAAACATCTTGTTACAATAGATAAGTAAATAATAAAAATAAGTAATGATAAAAATAATGACTATTTACTAAGTGATACATATGTCAATACTTTGCATGCATGAGGAAATCAGAACTAATTTACCTGCCAAGAAAGTACTGATTGGGATCCAAGTCTCTTTGACCTTAAGCCCAAGAAAACTCTTATGACTGTGTTGTACTGCCTCCTACAGGTAATCAAAAGCTCCAGAGCAACAGAAAAAAAAAATAACTGAACTATGCTAAACTGATTAAGATAGATGAGGAGCCACTCATATTAAATAGATACATATGTAGTTGGTACCAGGAGTAGACAGAAAAGACCTCCCAAACTAATTAAGGTTAGAAGGAAGCTAAAATGATTAGTATCATTCAAAGTGAAAACACCTACACTGCAATTGAGGGAACCAATGCATAGCCTGAAGATGAACAGGATAAACTGTATTGTTCTCAATCTAAGGAGAAAGTACACTAAAACGAAGATTGGCTTGCAAATAATTATTAAAGGGAAATAAAAGGGTGGCAAAGAAAAAGAGGAATGGCTCAGAGGTTAAGTTTAGAAATTTTACCTAGGAATAAACTCCCTTATCCAGACATATGCCAAGGGGAGATGGCTACACCCATACCAAGTCAGCTATAAGGTCATCTAACTAAATCCCCATCCTCTGATTTCAGGTTCACTAAGCAGCTAATTAGAATTTGCATTCCTACTCAAATTCTGCCTAAAGGGAGACTTTGCTGATAAGAGAAATATCTGATCCACTGTAGGTTAGGAAAATTCATCTTTCTTTCTTTTTCTAAATAATCCAATTTGGAAAATTTAACTTTCATTTTCAAGACCCTCACCTCTACCATCTTACTAAATAACAGGAATACATTACTTAAACCTTTAAAGCCTTAGATTCCTCTTCTCTAAAATGGGGACAAAAGTAAATATCAACAGTTAGCAGAGTAAAGCAAATAGGTATTTGGTGCATGGAAAACAAGGAAATGTTAATTCTATCTAACTACACTGCCCAAGCTCAGAGCTAGTAATTGCAGAAAGCTGAGATCTGAACCCAGATTTACTCCAAATCCATTCTTTTTTCCATTACGACATTCCTCGCAGACTCTAGTCTCAGTTGTCATCCAAGACTCTAAGACTTAGGACAATATACTCAACCATTCTGAGCTTCATATTTTTAAGTGACTTTCCTTCTAGGGCTTCTTAGGCAATTTGAAAATCAGTGCAAAACAGAACAAAAAAAATTACCGCATCATCTACTGGGAAACCAACCCCGTGCTTTAAAGTTAAAGCCCTAACTTTTCAGTAACTTCTATGCTGTCTGTGGGGCTACTGATGTGCCTAATTATCTCCACTATAAGCATGCTGATCCACAGGATCACTCCAATAAACAATCAGAGAACCAGTATTTTGAGAGTTGACTTTATAAAATCAATGACTGGCTACCAATATAAAAGAAGGAATTTCATTCACCACCACAGGTTGTCTAAAAGTCATAAAAAAGGAAGACTGATCAACATCTGTTTGGCTTAAAAAAAGAGCCATCGAAATAGTAAAAGCTATTATCTTTAGACCAGAAATGTTAAAACAAGGACTAAGAACTAAAGTACAGCTTGTTTTGTAACTAAGGACTTAAGATTTTCAAGGAGATTGGCAAATAAATTCCCTACCATTCTAAATCAACTGCTTGATACAAATAATTTCATTAAACATTTATAAGACGAAGCATACATATACTATGTAAACTGCATTTATAAGAAATTTTTTGAAAAGAATGGATTTCTGAAAAGAGGATATATATAAAATCTCAGCACAGGAATCTCGGTAGAATTAAACTACTGAAATTCACAAAAATTAACCAAAAGCAAGCCTTGGTAAGAAAGCGAAGAAGTTCAACAGAGATGAATTTAGTGAAATTATCCAGAAGACGAAGAGTGTTACCCGAATAGCCTCCACTACATTTACATACTGCTCTCACATTTCGTTATCTTGCCCTGATAGTTTTTTCGGCTGGATGTTTTCCTGAAAGAGGTAGCGTCAAAGGTTAAGGAAATTGTTCAATCGATTCTTCAAAGAGTTGCCAGATTTGTCTTCTACCAGCACACCAGTCGCCTGTGAGCATAAGGCAGCTTCTCTAAAAAACCACAGCTAATAAATTTTTTAATCCAAAATTTAATCTTTTGGGTTAAAACCTTCAACCTCACTTTTTCAAGCTTTACTTTTGTTTCAATACGATGAGCGAAGAAATCCGAGTCATAAAAAAAGATCCAGCGCCACGATTAGAAAAGTGTCATTCCATCCCCCTCCCCCGCAACACAAACACAACTTTTGAAACTTGTTCCCAAGCTTTCTAAACCCCACGCAGAAGGTCCCCACACCTCTCGACTGAAGTGGTGCCCTCACCCAACAACGGGCGAGGGGAGGAGGGAAGCTGGCTGATACACCTTTTCCAAGAGACCTCGGAAAGCAGAAGCAGGATATACTGTACCTGGGCGTTGGCTTCGTGCAGTTTGTGTTCCGTGGAGACGTGGTGCCTCAAGAGAAGGGTTTTCTTGTAGTTGCGGGTCCCTCGTGAAAGCTCATCATGCCCCACTTGGGGAAGGTCCACGCTTCCCCCATCCTCAGAGGTCTTTTGGCACCAGCCGCAAGACATAAGGCCAGTATCCTTGGAATACCGCAGCCAGGGAAAGTCCTTGAGCCAAGAGGTCTGAAAGGAGCACTGTAGCTTCTGCATTAGAGACTTGGGCCGCGCGAGCGGGAAGTGCTGGACAGGCTCTCCTTCGCCAGCTCCCGCACCGCTGCCCTCCACTTCGTCCCCGCCATCGCCGCCCGACCGCCTGCTGCTGCTGCAGCTGCCGCCTTCCGCCCCGCTGCCGTCGCCCAGGCTCGCCCCCTCCTCCTCGTCCTCGGTGCTGTCGCTCAGGGACGCGCCGTCCTGCATCAACTCCTTTCCCTCCAGCGCGTCCAGCTCCAGATCCACAGCCGTCGGCCCTCGCCCATTGAAATGCCTCAGGGGCCACGCCGAGGTCTCCGGGCGGCC